TATAACAAATACATGAAATTAATGCTAGATACTTCTATGATACATATGAATGTACTTGTATGGCACTCATGTATTTAAATGTTTAGTTTGTTGGATACATCATATATTGATAATAGATACATCAAATTAATGAATTTATTATTTTAAGAGTAATAATTTGAAATTAATCAAATTACATTACCAAGATATACATGTTTTTATCTTATATTAATAATATTAATGAATTTACTATTTCAAAGAATAATAAAATGAAATTAATTATCTATGTATTTTGAAAATCCTCAATTACTCCTCTAATTAAGGAAATAAGTTACAACCAATTAATTTAAATAAATAAATTTTGTATCTCAATTTTAAAATTCGACAGATACATGTATCTCATGGATTCAAACTCATGTATCCTAATCATAAAATATGGTAGAGGAAGTAATATTTGAAACTATTGTGAATCTTAATAATTAAGACCTAAATTAGTGGGATTTATGTGATTTGCCCTATATAAAAGGTATAAAATGTTTTGTGTTTGTATAAAGCGAGAGAAAAGTGTATATACAAATACAAATACAAATACATATATTTTCGTCTTATACACTTATAATTATACAAATCTTATTATACAAATTACAATGTATAAATTAATTTCTACAAAATTAAATAATTTGTATAAAATTGGATGTATCTAGCGAATTATACAAATCAAAAGCTCCATAGCAAACATAAAATTTGTTATGGAGCGCAATTATGCAAACTATAATTATAACATACAAATATGATTTTTATGTTTGCTATATGTGAAAGTTGCTCTTCACAGAAAGTTAAATATTATTGCTAAGTAATAGTACAAAATAAATCCTCCGTTCGGCTAGAAACGCGTAGTTAGCTACTTAACTTATACGAAAGAGAAAAACAATAACCATAGGATGTTGTATAGTAGATGGGCTACTCTTCCCTTAACTAAAGCTTTCGAATTTGAGCCCTAGCTATATAAAAAAATCCTTTATAGGAAGTGCTTCCCTCGAGGCCTTATGCGGCTCAAATTCAAAATAATCAAGTATTAATACAAATATCAAACACCAAAAAGGTGAGAAACAAAACAGAAAGAAGAAGAAAACAACAATAAAAATATAATATCCGACTTTAAAATTCAAAGGTAAAAATACTAAGTCGGAGTAATAATGCCACTTTTCTTCATTTTTGTCATGGCCAAACCTATTTACTAGCTTTTAAAAAAGAGGGAGATAAAAAAAAATTAAAAAGGAAAAAATAAGAGAGAAGGTTCGTGCATGTGAAGTGGAGTTGGGAGTGCGAATGCGTCAATAAGGAGTTGTGAGAGTTGCATGAGTTAGGAGAAGTAGAGGTAAATCAAATTAAGACGAATTGAGGGAGACAATTAGATAGTATATGGATACTACTTCATGTTACTGAGGATAAAATTCTAGATAAGAAGGTGTGAAGGTCGAAGATTATGGTAGAAAGTTAGTAGTTAGGTAATCAAATGTTATCACCCTTTGTTGCTTCAATGTGTTTTACTATATCTGTTGATTCATTTGCTTTGTATCTTGATATTTTGTTGTCATAATTTTTAGAAATCTTACTTCGAAATCTTCTCTTTTGAGTCGAGGAATTATAAAAAATAATCCATCTTTACTCCCACAAAGATAAATAGCAAAATGTTGCGCATATCTTACCCTTCCATATATACAACCAGTCTATTAAATTTATTGTTGTTGTAGTAGTAGTATTAACTAAAACATATATTAATCAAATAAAAAAAAAACTAAAACATATTAAAATTAAAGACGTGTAAAATCATGTACTTGTGTACGATTATTGTACCAAAATCTTTAAAGTAAAAATGACCCACCTGCTTTTCCTTTTGGCAACACTAATGATGCTTACCATTTGAAGTTAATTAAATTAATTAGTAGCTACATTAGGTATGTAAACATTAATTCTGGCTAACTACATAATCCTATCACCTATTGATAACGACCTTACTTCTCAAACCACAACTTAATTCACTTTTTTGTCACTTTTTTTAGAGAGAGTTTTATTTTATTAGCGTAAAATTTTCAATCACATAAAATTGAATTGAGTTAGACCTGCATATCGGATACCAAAGAAAAATTTAAAAAATCACTATTTTGAGTCATAACATCATTAATTCATGGCAAAAACAGGAGCTAGGAACTGTCAAATAAACAGCACTATTAGAAAGCATCATTTTTATATCTTTCTTCGCTAGTAAATCCGCCACTTTGTTTTGCTCCCTAACGATCCGTGTGAATTTTTTTTCCAATATTTTATCAAGTGCATTTAATTTAACCCTTTTTTTTTTTTACTACCATGCTATAATAAATTTAAATTTTATGTGTGTGTATTCAACTTGCTTTTGGTGTTTTGTGGGACAATAATTAGTGCTAATTAACTGAGGTCCAACCTGTAGACTTATTTTTACTAATATTCAATGTATAGGTTAAAATTAAATAGACATTATCTTAGACTGTTTAATTTGGACCTAATTAAATTGAGAAAACTTAACGAGGAAGATTACAGTTTTTTTCATTTGGACTTTGAGTTGTTTCCCACTAATTAAAAAAAATGCAAGTAAAAAATTCCAAGTGGGTACGATGATGAATATATAGACTATAGTACTTATATTATATGATTTTTAATTGAAAAAAGACTAGGAATCATCCTAGGGATCAGTTCAAAATGAACTGTTTAACTAGGTAATTGACACTAACTTTAGTTTGGCCTTTAATCTTTTTCAGATTGCACCTACCCATAAATATATGTTTGGAGCTAAATGTGTTATTATTCAATGATAATAATTTTAGGGCTATTGAGTTAATGTCATTATATTTTTATTTTATTTCTTTTAGAGTCGCTAAAAATATTTATATAGAATGCTAGTTGTTAATACCTATATTTATATTATTGCTACAAAATCATTTATTTGTTGTATTGTATTTTGTGCATAAGTCATAACTTTCGTCAAAAACTTTTAAAATAAAAATGTAAAGTATAAATATGAAAATTAAAGGCATTATTTGTCATTATAATGATTTATTCATTTGATCATTTCTTCAAATATTAACACTGCTTATAAAATATCTTGAGTATCATTGTTACCGACCGAGGTCGTTTGGTAGAGTATACTAGAAAAAATAATGAATGTATTAGCTTTGTATATTATTAGTACCTTATTTAATACTCTTTTTCAACTTATGTATAACTAATGTTTGGATTAGTTATACACTGTATTGTGTAATAACGTGCGTATTACTAATATCATGATTTTTCAGGTATTAGCAATGCAATGGTTTTAATGCATGCTAATGCATGATAAAAGACCCAATTGACCCTCAAAACATTTTTTTTACATATTTTCCACCATAATAGTGGAGGGTATCTTTGTAAATAATTTATGTAATGCATGCTATTTTTAATGCATCAAACCAAACAATGCTTATAAATAATCTAGGTATAATTAATACAAGCATAACTAATACATACATTGCTAATGTA